TGTGTATGTGTGTATGTGTGTATGTGTGTATGTGTGTAGGTGAAATGAATAAGTATTGAGCCAGCCAGAAAGGATCATTTATCATTGGATTACAACCATTGGCCCTAAAAGATTTTAAAAAAGTGTGTTCGAAAGGAGGAACATATGACCTCTCCGTTACCTCTGCACAACACTGTTGAACGGGATGATTATGAAGTTTCTTCTCCTTCCTTTCTATACATAATCCCACTATCATTCCTTTCTCTTTTTTTTTTTTTTGATCAACTTTTTAATTTAAGTAAATTACAAAATTTACATATTATATGAAGTATTCTCATATTGCCTTATTATTCTCATTTCGCAGTTATGAACGATTTTTGAGCTTTTCGCTTTCGTTTAACAAAAATTTTCACCATTTTGCATTTCCAAAATAAAATGGAAGGAAAAATTGAGATATTTTTTGCATTTTAATGACTTAAAGTAGCATAGGTAGGATCAAATTATTTCCACCGGGAGTTTTGAGATTGTAAATACTCGGGTTTTACTCTTATTTAACACTCGGATTTTAATGGTCAGCAGGAAGAGAGGAAGGACGTGTGAAAACAACGAGGAAGAAATAAGAGAGATGAGAAGGTTATTGCTACTAAAAGTGACCATACCTATCCATCAGGTCTTCCTGACCCCGGAAAGCTCGGAAATAGTATTTGTAACTAATGCCATTCATTTATTCATTTTTCCTTGCACATTTGTCATTGTATAAATGTATTCTTTTTTTTTCATCCCTCTCATATATTATTTTTTTCATTTAAATTCCAATTATGAATTTAATTAACTCAAAATTTTTATAGACAATTAATTATCTCCAGGTGATAATTAATTATCTCTAAAAATACATGCTATGAATATGCAGTGAATTATAAACTCAGACTGATTGTTCCATAATTTAGGTTTCGTTTTCAGGATTATTAGGCTTCTAATGATAAGGCTCTTTTAAATTGATTGTTATTTATCAAAATGATAAATTGTTTTATTAATGAAAACTGCTACAAATCATGTGATATTCTTTTGCATGTTCATATCTTTTGAACGATAATAGCACAGTATCGATAATAAAAAGCGAATTTTTAAATTAACTCAATGAAATGGATGATATTTTAAAAGGTAAACTTAAATAAATTGTTAAACTATGAAAAGTTTTGCTTGAAATACAAACATGAAAATAGCTATCTCTGACAAGTATTGTTTTTTATCTCTTGCATATATCATTTAATCTTTCCTCATTTCTATCTATCAGGTGCTTCTGTTCTAGACAGTTCGGAAATATCATACATCATTTAAATGGCTTAATTATAGAATAGTATACAATTTATGTGGAAAAGAAGATATACCAAAAAAAAATGTAGAGTTGAAAAATTTTATTTAATATAAATTCCAAAATTTTTTCTCCGTCGGCGCAAAATAAAAAAGAATAATAAATTTATTGCCATTTCGTGCCTTATTGGAAGCAAAAATGTTGGAAGCAAAGAGGAAGCAAAGATGCTTCTTTCTCTTTTTAATACATTTCTTGGTATATCTTCTTTAAAAACTTTTGCCAATTAGTTGAACGGTTGAAAGTTTTTATTTAAAAGCATTTAAAAAATTTTAAATCTTTTAAACTGTAAAAAATTGATCTGTTAACTAAGATAAAGTAATTAAATTAACACTTAATTCTAACATCAAGAAAAGTTCTTATTTGATAAAAAAAACTTTATTCAGCTTATGCAACAATTTACGTAAGCATTTTTCAATTGAAATTTTTTAAAAATGTTAATTTGCAAATATATTATTATCTTGAATTTCGTTTTAATTTTTTTGCTTTTCTTTTTTTTGAATTCTTTCATCAATTTAAGATAAAAAGAATACTTTTATGCTTCTTTATAATAAGATGTCATTGAAACAATTCCCAAAATTACTCTCTCGTACAAGCAAGAAATGAAAAATTGTATTATTTTGAGGAGCGGTATTTGTTAGCAATTAAAGAGTCAATTAATTTTTTTATTTTTTATTAATTAGCAAGGATGGATAATAATACTACTGCAGTAAGTAAAAATTATTCATCAAATTGAAAGATGTGAAATAATTTTCATCCACTTAATAAGTAAAGTGATTGTAAAAATTGAAATTTAACATAAGACGGTGTTTTAGGTACATTTCCATTAAATATTCTTTCGAAGTCATGAATTTTTGGCTGTAATTTAATTTATTTTCTTTTTCGATAAACGCCAAAGTGTTTATTGAAAAAAAAAATCTTAATTTCTATTTTGCAGGAAAATTGGAATTGTATTTGTAGGAGAGGAAGCGATAAATTTGTAACGAAAAAAGAAATCTTTCAACTTTACAATGCGTATATTAATACGTCATATTATTATCACACAACTTATACTAATATTTTCTTATCATCATAACATATCAGTAAGTGGTATTCATGAAAAAGCTGCTCCATCTGGTACATCATCCTTAACATTTGTATTTGATACCACCGGTTCAATGAATGATGATTTAATTCAAGTGCAAGATGGCGCGAAAAAAATCCTAGACACTGTTCTCAAACAACGTGAAAAACTTATATACAATTATGTCTACGTGCCATTTCATGATCCCAGTAATTCTCTTAATTACTTTGTTACAAAAAATTTATTATCACAAAAAATTACTAATTACTTATTACAAAGAAAAAGCTTAATTGTGCGATAATTAAATAATTAACATAAAATTATGCATTAAATAACATTGTACATAACAGATAATTAATGCAAAAATTCTTTAGTTTGGAAAAAAGTCAATGATCAGATGACGATAATCGGTTTAATAAAAAATAAATCGATTCAACGTTTGAAAAGCATTATACAGCATTATACGTCATCTCAATGTTATTTAATGCTTTTTCGAAAAAAAAAATTGAATATTTTTAATGAGAATGAAAATAGATATTGCATCGAAAAATCAGATAATTTAACGAAGATTTAAACATACTTATTAGAAAGCAAGACATCGAAGATAGTATGAATAAGTTAGATATCTGAGTTGACTAAATAATTCGGGAAGATTTATATAACAGAAATTTAATCCTTCAATGAAAAACATTCAAATTTTACTTCTATATCATTGCTATTTTAAAAGTTCATCTCAGAATTATTACATAATATCTCTAATTAATGAGTTTTTAACAGTGATAAGATATAAATAATGCACCAACTTTATCATTTTTATCTTGAGAGCATCTTATTGAACGAACTAATTTTTGTTTGTTTAAGTTTTCGAAATTTTTTTGTATTAGTGAAACTTCAGGAGTTGGACCGGTATTTTCTACAACTGATCCAAGAACTTTCCAAAGGCATCTCAATTCGGTACACGTAGTTGGTGGTGGTGATTGTCCTGAAATGTCACTTAGTGGTTGGTTTCATTTAACTTTGAAACTTTTCACAACTGCAAACGCAGTAATACTTTCCAGAAAGTAATGTATAGATGAGAAAAAAAATTCGAGTATGAACTTATGTCAATGATTTAAATAATTTAACAAGCAATTCACTTAGATTACAATTATTGTAAGAAGCCAATAAATAAGTTACAGATTCCTAACAAGCATGTTCCGTTTCCAATGAATAAGCTATTTAATGAGGTCTAATGAATGTTAGCCAACTCTCTAATACTCTCAGGTATTCAACTGGCCTTAAAGGCTTCATTGCCTGCATCTTTCATATATGTGTTTACCGACGCGCGCGCTAAAGATTATCATTTAGAAGATCAAATCGTGAATTTGATTCAGGAGAAGCAAAGTTCTGTAAGTTTCTTCGGCGGACTAAATAAAAGAAAAATTTTTTGCTAATTAAATTAAGTCAAAATTTTATAACTATCCTAAAATTTAGGTATGCAAAAAAAAATCGAATAAGCATATTATGAAGAAATATTTTTGCTATGACAAGCCATACTTTAATAAGGAAAAAAGGAAGCAATCATTCATAGCTTACCGAATATTGTTCGGAATTCAATTTTTTCGCCTCCTAAAATTGTCAGAATGATTAAGTAGAAATTGTATGAATTGGAAGATGAATTGGAAGAAAACAAGAAAAGAAAAACAGAAAAGGCATGGTCCATCGTTTTTTCACTGATAAATTTTGAAATGCAATTATATCATAGAAAAGTGTAACCCCGTTTACTTAAATTTTCATTTGTTATTCCAGAAAAATTATAGGTTGTTGCAGAATTGATAATATTTTATCTTGATATAGGATTTTATTTATTTGTTCGACCTTTACTTATTTTCTCATTAATTATTTGATTTATATTAAGGTAGTATTTGTGATGACTGGAGACTGTAACAATCGTACACATCCCGGTTTTCGTTGCTTTGAAAATATCGCTGCTGTTAGTTTTGGACAAGTTTTTCACTTGGAGAAAACGGATATCAATAAAGTACTCAATTATGTCCGTCATTCCATCACCCTTAAAAAGGTCAGAAATGAAAAATCTTTTTTGATCATTTTTTTTTCCAGTTACAGCAGAAGCAAAAAGTTATTATTGTTGTTGCTGTTGTTGTTGTCTTACACAAATTCTTCAATTGGAATTTTTCGAGACAATTTTCAAATTTAAAAGTTTTTCAGTTTGAAATTATACAATTTAGCACACTCTTCTTTGATTGATATAAATACATTTGATAAAGTTTTCTAATTTTACAATATTTTTAGGTTCATATTATATACGAAATTAGAAATCACAGTGGTACATTTTTATGTCAGATACCTGTTGACAGATTGCTTACAGAATTAACAGTATCGTTATCAGGAGATAAAGATGATTCAAATTTAGACATTAGTTTGATTGATCCTAAAGGTAATTTTCTAATGTTATGCAAATTGTTTTAACAAAATTTGTCTTAAATTCCAAAAGGATTGAGAAAGTTTGATTTTTTTTTGCAACAAAATAATTTAATTGCAATAATACCAATCAAATTATATGCTACAATATTCAAATTTAATGGATAAATATTAAAAAAAATTGATTGTGGCGCGAAAAGTTCAACAGAAAAAAAAAGAATGAAATAGGCACACGAGTAGATCGAACTCAACTCAGCAATGAAAGTGGTTCGATTGATTTGAGCAATATTAAACTAATCCGGATCCGGAATCCTATCCCTGGGATTTGGAAAATACGAACATCAAGTCGTTTGAAACATACATTACGAGTGCTTGGTCATGGCGCTATTGATTTCAA